GTGGAACCTCTCCGGAAATAGCTCTGACCATTAGACCACTGAGTCAACCCATCCCGTGCGTGGAACCTAGTGTAAAATAGCTCTGACCATTAGACCACTGAGTCAACCCATCATCCCAGTGGTCCACTTACACAAGAACCGCCATTTGTTTACCAAACAGCAACGGCTGGCGAGGGGTCCGTCCCCGGAGATCTCTACGCTCAATCCCAGTGATTAAGCTTCTAACAGCCTCAAGCCCATGTGATCCGGCCGGGTGCTAACGAGCTCAGCGCATATCTTTTATTAGATAAAATTAGACCATCTGATCAGTCAGCGCTGACTAGCCGAATGGTCTAGTTCCGCGATTAAGAGCGGCCGGGTGATAGAAGGCGTTGCTCGCTTGGAGAAGTCCACCTGCAGCGCAAAGCACGCCGAGTAGCAGCCTGTGTACCAACCCACGCTCTCTGGAGACGTGCATATCGACAGGCAGGGGGAAACAGGACCGAAGAGAGCGGACTGCGGAGCAGAAGCCAGCAACGCACGCCCTCCTGGAAGTTTCTCCTCCCCTCGCAAACTCCCAATTCATGTTTTCGCAACCACGGCGCCCCCTAGGTCGGGATTGACCCCCACGCCAGCGCACACACATCACATGAGACAGCAGTCATAGGCAGAAGGGAGAGCAGGCGAGCAGAGGCTTCGTTGATATGTTGAGGCGTGCAGCAGGCCATTCGACATGCAAGCGGTTGCTTGGCCAGCCGGTTGCACCGCGCTCCGCCGGCTCGACGAGGGCGATCTCCGTCCTTCTAGCAAAACCGCCGCAACAGCAACAAGCCGTCATCAGAGCCAGCCTTCGAAGGCGCCAGCATCAACAGCCAGGGCACAGCGCGTGGTTGAGAGGGACAACCGGGTCTACCTGCCGTGTTGCCGTTCTTGGGGCACCACGCGCCGCATCAAGGTCGATCAGTGCAGGTCAGGTGGTGGTGTTGTCGAGTATCCCATGAGGCAGCAGCAGAGAAACGGACGCTGTGTTCTGCACAGGCGGAGTATTTTTGATCGATTTGCATACACCCAGGACACGCCCTTTTGCGTCAGCTAACAGATACTCCTACTATGCAGCAGGCTTTCCTCACCAGCACGTAAGTGAAAGTTGCAATAGACGAAGCGGAACAAGACGATGTCGAACCCTAGCTACCAGCCGGTGAGCCTACGCCAGCGTGTAGCGGTGCGTTGCCTACTGGAGGCTTTGTATGGCCGGGCGCCTGCTGCGCGTGGACGGCAGGCAGGGTTGTTGCTTGTTGAACAAGGTGTGCTAGTTTTGCAGGTCCTGTTTTGTATCATCATGTACTCGTACATAAGCAGGAACAAGCCGCTCCCAAGAAGCCACCCGCCCACTCGCCCACTGCTGTTGACTTGACCCTAAGCCAAAGCCTAACCCTATTTGTTCACACCACCAACCAGCGGCCTGATCCCTAAAACTCTATTTGATCGTACAGCAGTACCACACCCTAAACCTCTCCCTGGCCCTAATTGTCCATGCCACACCAGCGGCGGCAGGGCGCGCCGCGGAGCTGAAGGCCCGGAATAGGAAAGTGGCCATCTACATGGCTTCCGTCGTCACGGCCGTCCTCGGGGTTAGCTACGCCGCCGTCCCCTTGTACAAGGTCTTTTGTCAGGTGGGAGAGAGCGGGTAGGTCGTATGATAAAGCAGTATACTCCCCGACGGACAGGGGGGGCGGTCCCCCTCTTCATGCATAAGAGGTTATGGTAAGATGTGGTGGCGCTCTATGTAGGTATTTGGGCCTCAATCGGTGTGACCCTCTGTCCCCGTCACACCCCTGTGATGGTTCTCGGGGCGGCATTGAAAAAAATAGCACATGCGTGTAACAGCGTGGATTTTAGCTTGTTTGTGGTCGCGGATTGACTGCAGTGGGTTTGTGGAGTTGTGGACTAGGTAAGCAGCAGTGGAGTTACGGTTTGTAGTCTCCCTCGATGTGGACTATAACCGCCGCCGCCGCCCCCCTTCTTCTGTCCCGCGGGTGTGCCAGGTAACGGGGTTTGGGGGCACGACGCAGGTGGCCGACGCGGACAAGGCCCTCAAGATGAGCCCGGTGAGTGAGCGAGTTGCGGTCGGACGACGGCAATACGCACATCGATGCCGCCGCCGCACGAAACGGCACTCGACCCTTTCCTGCTGGGCGCCCGAAAGCATGAAGCTTGTTTTTCGTCCTTTTCATCGTCATGCAGCTGTAACATCAGAGGAAGGAAAAAGAGAACGAAAAAGGTCGACTCAAGACCTCGATCGAGAGGAACAATTGACACACCAAGCAACCCTTCTGGGGTCCCCGCCGAATCGTATGCCCCTGGGGTGCCCGTAAACAAGTGAATCTCGGGCATCGAGAACCCCAAACGAACCTCTCTCGCCTCCACTTCCTTCCTCGCTCTAGCATCCTTGAACACGGACCAGCGGTCAGCGAACCACCTCCATCATTCGTATTCTTGTTATCATCTTGTGTTGCACTTGTGAGAACTTCCCGCTCCTCCTTGAGGTAGCCGTACCGGCGCATTAGAAGTGGGCTGAAAAGGCGGGAATTTTTATCGATGGGATAGATAAGACAAGGGTAGGGAATTAAAAATCGAGCCACCTCTGGCGAAGTAGGAAGGGACGATTGGCCATCGGTGATCGGTCCTGCTGTGGGAACAGTGCTCCGTCATCTTGGAGGACGCGTGGTCAATGGTCTAACAGCCTGAGGCAAGAGTACACACCCTCCTCTTCGGCTCGCTGTTTCTCTATGGATTCGAACAGGTCGAGGGCGGTCGAGTTATCCGGGTGACGTTCGACGGTGGTACGGCGGACACAATGCCCTGGAAGTTCAGGCCGACACAGTCAGACGTAAAGGCGGGTACCACGATGTTCGCGGGAGCGATTTTTTTTGTTTTACACGAGACCCCCCGTCATGTGGTGTGATCTAGCTACATTCGATTTCGCGTATTGCAAGAGAGACCAGCCTAAAAGGGCCCTGGTCTGGCTTGTTTTCTCGAGAGGTAGCGTGTTCAGGCGGTAGCATTCGATCTCGCGCGTTGCACGAAACCGCATCAAAGGGCTCTGACCTATAGCTTGTTTTTCTCTCAGGCATGGTGTTACATCGCGGCGGCAAGTCTACATTTGAAAACAAAATACTACAAGTTATCACTCACTCACACGCACGCCCCGTACCTCCTGCTGCTCCGCCTGTTGTTGATCAACCAAATCCTGCTGTTGTCGTTGTTGTTGATGGAACTCCTGCTGCTGTTGTTGTTGTTGTTGATGGAACTCCTGCTGCTGTTGTTGTTGTTGTTGATGGAACTCCTGCTGCTGTTGTTGTCGTTGTTGTTGATGGAACTCCTGCTGCTGTTGTTGTTGTTGTTGATGGAACTCCTGTTGCTGCTGTTGTTGTTGTTGTTGATGGAACTCCTGCTGCTGCTGTTGTTGTTGTTGTTGATGGAACTCCTGCTGCTGTTGTTGTTGTTGTTGATGGAACTCCTGCTGCTGTTGTCGTTGTTGTTGATGGAACTCCTGCTGCTGTTGTTGTCGTTGTTGTTGATGGAACTCCTGCTGCTGTTGTCGTTGTTGTTGATGGAACTCCTGCTGCTGTTGTTGTCGTTGTTGTTGATGGAACTCCTGCTGCTGTTGTTGTTGTTGTTGATGGAACTCCTGCTGCTGTTGTTGTCGTTGTTGTTGATGGAACTCCTGCTGCTGTTGTTGTTGTTGTTGATGGAACTCCTGCTGCTGTTGTTGTTGTTGTTGATGGAACCTCCTGCTGCTGTTGTTGTTGTTGTTGATGGAACTCCTGCTGCTGTTGTTGTTGTTGTTGATGGAACTCCTGCTGCTGTTGTTGTTGTTGTTGATGGAACTCCTGCTGCTGTTGTTGTCGTTGTTGTTGATGGAACTCCTGCTGCTGTTGTTGTCGTTGTTGTTTGATGGAACTCCTGCTGCTGCTGTTGTTGTCGTTGTTGTTGATGGAACTCCTGCTGCTGCTGCTGTTGTTGTTTGTTGTTGTTGATGGAACTCCTGCTGCTGCTGTTGTTGTTGTTGTTGATGGAACTCCTGCTGCTGTTGTTGTCGTTGTTGTTGATGGAACTCCTGCTGCTGTTGTTGTTGTCGTTGTTGTTGATGGAACTCCTGCTGCTGTTGTTGTCGTTGTTGTTGATGGAACTCCTGCTGCTGCTGTTGTCGTTGTTGTTGATGGAACTCCTGCTGCTGTTGTTGTCGTTGTTGTTGATGGAACTCCTGCTGCTGTTGTTGTCGTTGTTGATGGAACTCCTGCTGCTGTTGTCGTTGTTGTTGATGGAACTCCTGCTGCTGCTGTTGTCGTTGTTGTTGATGGAACTCCTGCTGCTGTTGTTGTCGTTGTTGTTGATGGAACTCCTGCTGCTGTTGTTGTCGTTGTTGATGGAACTCCTGCTGCTGCTGTTGTCGTTGTTGTTGATGGAACTCCTGCTGCTGCTGTTGT